TTCAGAATGTTTCCGTCGAGTTTCCTCTTGGCTAGGCTGGCTGCGACGGGGGGGGGCCCCCTGATCGGAGCAGGGGGCCCCTTCTATGTACCCTAAGGAGTTTTTGGAAAAGAATAAAGTGTAAAAAGGTATTTATTTTCTACTAAGACTCAAAATAAAACTCGTTTTTATATATTTATTCATGAAATGCAGTTTTACAGCGCAGGCGTAACGGTTCCCGTAGACCGGTCCGGTGTGTGGTGAGGAAGAATGAGAGCATATACTGAGCGATAACCGCGGTAAAACTTGAAAATTCATGAATTAAATTCTTTTTTTTATTTGAATTTAAATATAATTTGAGGGATGTCGCCAGGATTTTGTTCTGAGTTTCAGCTGGGCTTGCAAACTATACTTGCAGCCGACGCAGATCGTGAGTGCGCGCAGTACATTTCCTCTGAAAAAAATTCAAATAAAAGTTTATTTGACTTTGTAAATATTTCTTCTGAACTTTCTCAAGCTTCTGGTTCTATCGATGGGAGCTCTTCTGCCTCTGTCTCGTTCTTTTCTTCTGCTTTCGTTTCAGAAGATGATCGCAGCAGCAACTTGAACACACCGCCGCCTGCAGCGCATGCATCTTCTCCTCCTTCTTTTGAGGGTTTCTCTGTGCCTGGCCGAAGTTTTGATGAAAATATTAACGAAAATTTACTAAAAGAAGAGGCTCTAGATTCCCCGCACCGCCAAATTATTTCGCGTTTCTACCGCATCAAGGATATAACTCACCCGCATCTCTGCACGTACACCAACATACTGCGTGCTCAGAATCGTATTTATATTGTTTCTGAACACTGGTCTCTTTCTCTTCAGGATATAATCGATGCATGGAATGATGAAAGTAGAAATGCAGCAACGGCCACACCACCGACAGCAGCAGAGAAAGCTGTAATATCTGCAGCGGGCGGCTCATCAGCAGAGCGCAGCTCTTCTTCTTTTTCTTTTTCTTCTTTTTCTTCTTTTCCTTGTTTAAAATGGGATATAGAGAAGTTGAAGTTTCTTTCTACTGTAACTACACAAACCCTCACAGCGCTAGCTTATCTGAATAGTTTAGGTTTCTATCACGGCCGCCTGCAGCCCAGCGCCATCCGTATAGAC